TTGGAGGGTGAACTTCTGAGGTAGGGAGCCTTTTGTATTTGTGGAAGCTCCACACATGATTTAAAACTCTGGGTTCTAAATAGCCAACATATATGAAACTGGAGGTCCACACCCCAAATTCCACACCCAGCCCTCCACAGGAGTGTCCTTTTTGAGTGGGTATATCACCGAGTCTGGCTCAGTGTCTAACTAGAGCACAAGGCGCAGTCCATGCCACTAACAGCCAATATGTATATATATAATAATATGCTTGAGGTTTGACTATATGGGGTTTTTTGGGAGGGAGGTGGAGGCTCCTACATACCTGTGATTTTATAGCTTTTAGGTTGAGATTTCTGCAGTGATGAGAAGTTCCAGTGGTGCAGCACTTACCCAGGTTTCATTTCCTTTGGAAGGTTGCTGGAAGCCTATTGGTCTGCATTTATTTGCAAATATGCCGGTTGAGCACAGGTGGAGATGCGCAGCTGAAGCACTCCAGCAGGCAGCTGCAATCCACAGCTCCCACATCAGATATCTTTTAGGGACAGCCAGTATCGTAAGATGCTTGCAGAGACCAGACTCGACTGTCTCTGGGCTAATGGACACTACCTCTTTTTCATGGGTATGTAAAATGATAGTCATAATAGTGATCTATAGTTAGAAGTCAGCAGGTGTGGGGTGTGTGTGTGTGATTGGGTTGTTGATTTTATTTTGATTATATATAGTGTGGTTTTTATGTTGATCTTTTCTGTGAACTACCCTGAGACCTCCAGGTATAGGGTGGTATATTAATAATAATAATAATAATAATAATAATAATAATAATAATATGGAAACCCCATTTTCAGCTGCAGTTTCTCTTCTCACACAGATTGTTATGAACCTTAGCTTAAGGAGTGGAAGGATAAGTATGCTCTTTTGCCAAAACAGCTCAGCCTTTCAGAGTAGTCTCCAACTATTTCATAATCACTGTGGGCCAACTATTGAGAGAAATCAGTCACTCTCTCTAATGAAGGGAAGGTATTAGGAAGTCCGTGTTCAATTAATCACCTCTTGCCCAACCTTACAATCTCTTTACAATTGGATAAAAAGGTTATTTGGGCTCTTAGCTGCATAACTGGTCTGTTAGAAAGCAAGCAAAAAAGTTCAAGTAATGTACCTTCACTTTAGGACATTTCTTCCTTCATGGTTCTTAACAACGGCACTTCCTCTGCATATTTCAGTCCAAGCAGAAATGTCACTTCCTTCTGAGAATTTTGTTTTTGTTTTTTTAAAAATATGAGTCTTGTATTTATTTTGTATCAACACCAAAATACAGCAGTGACAACAAAGAGGAGCATACAGGCTAGCAGAGGGAGGAGAGGAGAGGGTGGTACTCAGAGTAGGCCCATTGAAATGGAAGAACATGATGAAGTTAGGTTCATTAATTTCAATGGGTCTACTCTGAGTTAAATTTAGTTAAATTCCACACTATTCATTTACTTTTTGATATGATTATTTATCTCTCTCCTTAATGTGAAGGCAGCCAAACGGGTTCTACTTGTATTACTTAATTTAGCCCTAGAACACAGTGGAACAACAACATCCTTAAAATGCATCACATAACTTACAAAACTTGATTCCTTGCTCATTATTCTCTCAAGAATTTTTAAAAAGAAAACCCTTCCTTCTATATACCCTAAAAATGTGAAAGACAGCATTATCCAAATCATGATAAAGTCCATATGTTACTGTTAATGGCCTTGGGATATCACTGAAAGTAGGCAGAAGTTTGAGGCATGTGTCATCATTTTAGGAGAGTTCCTCCTTCCTGCTTCTAAATATTGCCCCTTCCTCTGCATGTTTCAGTCCAAGTTGCAATGGCGCCTGACCTTTCATCCCAGATTAATTCTATGAATAATCACCAGTGTTGCAGGTGAGAACCTTACTTGGCACTGGAATGGAGGCGAGGGGGGATATTTCCCAGCTGGACTATGTCTGTTTGCTGTGGGGAATTGCAGCTCCATATTATGAAGGCCCCCCCTAGATTCTTTCTGGTGCTATGTTACTCCACATGTCCACAGCTAAGACATTCTCCCACTCTGATGTGTTATGCAACAGGAATACAAAGATCTGCAAAGTGGCATGCAGAGCAGGTGACTTTTTGTTCCACGCCATTAATGTTAGACGTGCCTTGTTGAACCAGATCAATGTCCATTTACCCCACCATTCTGCTTCCAATGGCAGGCATGCAGGCAACTGCTGCTGGGCATGGGGAACGACCATTCCAATGTAGCAACAATGACTGCAGCATTCACAAAAACCACCAGCAAACCAACTACAAACAGTGGCATCAGGTCTATTGATCATGGCTTGTTAGTGAGCAACAAACCATGACATAAGAGAAAGTCAAGGCTTTCTGGCTTATTTATCCTGCTCACGCCAAGGGAGGAGTAAAGTGGGAGTGATCAGGCAGCACCCTCCAGCCTGCTACTCATTCATAATACACCATTCTCACCCAGAAAGCTTGGCTTATTAATGTGTGAATGCAGCCATTGTGGGGCCTTCTACCCCCTGTAGTGTTTTCTCTACAGTTTCATTCACACACACACACACACACACACACACACACAACCAAGGAAAACACAGATTGGGGAGGAGCCATACTACAGGAGCAGAGAACATGCTTTGCAGGATCTCCATTATTATGAATGTGGAAGATCTTTTCCACATGAGAGATCTTGGGAGAGCTGCTGCCAGTCAAAATAGCAGATGATAGTGGACTAGATAGACCAGTGTATGACACTGCCATACCCTCCTATGCTGGAAAATGTTCCCCCTTTAAGAGCACACAGAAGTAATTCCCACTGTGTCCAGTAAAGTTTACTCTCGGCAAAACATGCATAGCAGAACTGCTGCGGCTGCCTAAGTCAGTAGTTTCATATGAAGTAACTGTGAGAACTATAGCAGCACCTCTCTCTGCCGAAAACAGAGTGGATATTATTTGGGGCTTTGTGAGGTGATTGTACATTACAAGTACCTTTACAGCAGTTTGAATAGTCCTCTTTCGCTGTTCTTTCCTAGCAATTGGTATTCAGAAGCATGCTGCCTCCGATCTTGGAAATGGCACAGAGCCATTGTGACTCTTCTGTTAGCAAAAGGTAAAGGTAAAGGGACCACTGACCATTTGGTCCAGTCGCAGACGACTCTGGGGTTGCAGCGCTCATCTCGCTTTACTGGCCAAGGGAGCTGGCATACAGCCAGCGTGACTAAGCCACTTTTGGCGAACCAGAGCAGCACACGGATATGCGGTTTACCTTCCCGCCAGAGCAGTACCTATTTATCTACTTGCACTTAAGAGTGCTTTCGAACTGCTAGGTTGGCAGGAACAGGGACCGAGCAACAGGAGCTCACCCCGTTGCGGGGATTCAAACCGCCGACCTTCTGATCGACAAGTCCTAGGCTCTGTGGTTTAACCCACAGCGCCACCCATGTTAGCAACTGACCTTAACTGTTTAACCATTAGCAAACTGACCTTAATTGTTTCTTCTCCTCTTCCCCCTTTTAAAAATGGTTTAAACTCACAGTGGATCTGCTTGCACTTCTTATTCCTTAGCAGCAACTGGAACACGTTCAGTAATGTTTACTATCTGGGTAGTCCCACTCCATTCAAAGGGAAGGACTGGAATCTCAAACAATGCTTGGCTTTGGTAAACCACCAGAATGTGTAGTAGAGTAACATTTTAAGCCCTGCCTCAGCTCATAGGAAAATTGCATTTTAATGAGTCAGATCAGTGGTCCACCCAGCTCAGTATTTTTTTTTTTTATTATTACTATGCTGACTAGCAGTAGCTCGCTAGTATCCCAGACAACGGTCCTCTCCAAGCCCTACTTGGAGATGCTGCAGAATGGACTTGGGACTCCCTGCATGCAAAGCAACGCTCTAACACAGAACTCTCCCGTAGTCAAAATAGGGCCATTATTTCAGTAGAGGCGAACACAAGAAAACGGGATGTGTTGGAAGAACTAGGGACAAGCCGACCATCGGGTTTAGAAGGGATGGCAAAAGGCTATAGTTGCGGAGTGCAGACGTTATGGAATAGGAGTGTGTTCCCCAAGCAGGGGTAGGTATGGGGTCTGAATTCGGGTAGCGGTGGGCAGCGTTGCTGTAAAGCAGAGTGGCTGAGGGCAGTGCGCGCTGCAGAGAAAGAGATCGGGGTGTGTCTCTGTAGTCTCCCTTCCGCCACCACCCAAGAGTAGGCTCGTCGGCTCGTCCGGATCTTCTCTCTCCTTCCCGCCAAGCGCCTCACTTCCCACCAGGCGTGGCGCACAATTCCGCACCCGGGCCCTTCTCCTGTTGCTCTTCCCCAAGCTCTCCGCTCTCGGGAGCCGACGCTGCTTTGGGAGCAAGGCGCCCCAAACGAGGGGCAGTCACAGCAGCAAGCGGCGTCAGCTGGCAGATCGCGGGACCGGGGAGTTTGCGGGCGGCGGCGGACCAAAGCAGAGCCTTCACTGCGTGCACCTGCAAGCGGCGGCCGCGGGGCAGCTCGTCGGAAGGCGCCGCGATCCGCTGCCGCCCGTCGGTGCCCGCGCCGCGACTGTGCCGCTCGGTCTCTGTGTGTGGCTCCCTCCCCACCTCCTATTGGCTGGGAGGTGCCCGACGTCACAATTGGGAGTTCCTATAACTCCCCCACACTCTCCACATAACGGGCTCCGGGCAAGTTCTAGGCAGTCGGGAGGTGACGAAAGGGAGGAGGGTCCGAGCAGACAAATGCCTCCGCGGCGGCAGGCTGCATGCGGCTCCCGGTCCCGCCAAGCCCCGCGTGCGCTCGCCAAGCCTGGATCTTCTCCAGCGCGCCCATAGCGGCCACTGAGAGCAGAGAGCCTGCAAAGGGGTCAGCGGCCGGGCGCTTCGGAGCCTTGGTCACACCCGGCGGGACGGACAGACCCTCGGCGCGCGGACCTGCCGAGAGGCGCTCCAAGTAAGAGCGGCGCGCAAGAAGGGCTCGGACGCGGCTGCTTTCCCGGAGGGGCCGAGCGCGATGGAAGCGGTGAGCGCCGCCAGCGCCCTGCAAGCCACGCTGGGCGCCAACAGCAGCAGCAGCAGCAGCAGCGGGCAGAGCGCGGGCAACTCCACCGGCTCGGAAGAGAGCTGGGTGGTGGGCATGGGCATCCTCATGTCCCTGATAGTGCTGGCCATCGTCTTCGGCAACGTGCTGGTGATCACCGCCATCGCCCGCTTCCAGAGGCTGCAGACGGTCACCAACTATTTCATCACGTCGCTGGCTTGCGCGGACCTGCTGATGGGGCTGGCGGTGGTCCCTTTCGGAGCCAGCCACATCATCCAGCTCACGTGGAAGTTCGGGAACTTCTGGTGCGAGTTCTGGACCGCCATCGACGTGCTGTGCGTGACGGCCAGCATCGAGACTCTGTGCGTCATTGCCGTGGACAGGTACTTCGCCATCACCTCCCCCTTCAAGTACCAAAGCCTCCTGACCAAGAATAAAGCCAGGATGGTCATCCTGTTGGTTTGGGTCATTTCTATCCTAACCTCCTTCTTGCCCATCCAGATGCACTGGTACAGAGCCACGGACTCCAAGGCCAAAGAGTGCTATGCCGATGAGACTTGCTGCGACTTCTTCACCAACAAAGAGTATGCCATCACTTCTTCCATCATCTCCTTCTACTTGCCCTTGGTAGTCATGGTCTTTGTCTACGCCAGGGTCTTCCAGGTGGCCCAGAAGCAGCTGAAGAAGATAGGCAAATGCGAAGGGAGGTTCCACCAGCAAAGTTCACAGCAGGAACAGCAGGCTGGAAGGGGAATCCACAGGAGGGCATCCAAGTTTTGCTTGAGGGAACACAAAGCACTCAAAACCCTGGGCATTATCATGGGCACCTTCACGCTGTGCTGGCTCCCGTTCTTCATCGTCAACATTGTGCATGTCGTCTCGGAGGACGTCATCCCCAAATTTGTGTACATCTTTTTGAACTGGGTGGGATATGTCAATTCGGCCTTCAACCCTTTGATTTACTGCCGAAGCCCAGACTTCAGGTATGCTTTCCAGGAGATCCTTTGCTTCCGGAGGTCTGCCCTGAAAATGTACGTCAATGGATATTCCAACAGCAATGGGAAAAACGATTTCAATGGGGATCACAATGGCTATCATATGGGACAAGAGAAGGCTAGCGAACTGCTGTGCGAAGAAGGAAGCCCCCATGCTGGGGAAGAGTTTTTGCACTGTAAAGGTACTGTCTTGCATGGTAGCATTAACTCCCAGGAGGCCGAACCTAGCACAGGGGACTCCCTCTTGTCGTGATTGTTGTCATTGCAGTGCAGAGAATAGAATGTAGTGGCTGTCTGGCAGCCGCACTCAAGACAAGGTTTACCCAGAATGTGGGAGCTGCCCCGTAGTTTAGCAGTCAATGGAAATGTTTAAGGATGGGCATATGTGGATTTGTATATGTGCATATTAGAGCCCCCTTCTTCCACCGAGGGTTAAGACACTGCAGGGGTTAGCCTACAAAGGAGTTTATTCTTGTGATGTAGTGTTACCAAACTCATCTACCTCACAGGTGTAGGAATAATATTGAACTGAGCTGCTGTTCCTAAAACTGAAATCCCTACACGCAAGAAGGAATTTGGTGCTACTGATGGCTCACCCTTTCGTTGGAAAACAATAGCTTTAAAGACTGTTTTAAGGCAAGAAGTTAGGGTTGGCTGTAGAGTGCTTAGGAATCTGTAAAGTCAAGTGTTTACTTTTGTTTTCAGAATATTGTCCGTAGTAGTGACCAAGTTTCCTGAACATGTTCTTCGCTGCAGCAAGCATTACCTTTGAAATCCTCACTAATGTCAGCTGTTTGTTGATATTAGCACAAAAAACCCTTTCAATTCCCCTTCAATTTAGATTTGTATTTATTTTCTACCCACACAACCCTGATCTTATCTCATTTTCATTAGCCGGCACTATTCAAATGCCAGATACTTATGTAGTTGTGAAAGCAGTACCTGGTGTTGCTTTCCAGCGAAACCAGTCCTCCCTCGCTGTTCATTTATGATAATTTCCCCAAGGCAATAATATGCTGGTGTCCTGCATTGGGGCTCACTGTTCCCTGTTAGAGTCTTGGCAAATGGACTGGGTGTCAGCTTAGATGACATGGAACCTGTGTGCATTAAACCTTGTAAAATCATTAACCCAAACTTTTTGCTGCCGTTGCCATAACCCAGAAAGTGACAGCAAGAGACCTAGAAGTGAAATACCTTTAAGCCTAGTTTGCATTAGGGTATAAAGCAGCATTTCATTTCTAAGGGCAGAGGAGCTGAATCACCTGCTGTGCCAATGATTTCATTTGCCCTTCTCTGACTTCTAGCCCAGCAATGACAGGAAGGTAAAGGTATTTATTACTCAGAGCAGTGCTTTGCTGGTTTTGGATCAACAAGTAGCTAGCAAGCTGTTCTCATTTAGGAACCCCCCCCCCCACTAACTAGTTAAGTTTATGGAATGATTTTAAAGGCATTAACCTATTACAACTATAATTAAGGTAGTAATCACTCCCTTTCCACTAATTCCACTCTTTCTGTTTGACTAAAGCACAGCCCACAAGAACCCACAGGCAATGAATTCTGGGATAGATCTGGGATTGACCTGGCCTATTATAGTCCTTCTTCATTTGTTAAATTAGTACCCAGTGTGCTTGATGGTCTACCTCATCCCTGCCCTGGAGGTGTTTAGGTGAAGTAAAGGGTTTATGTGGCCATTTGTATTTTAGGTTCACTGAGCTGTATAGCCACTTCCCCTTGCACCATCAGACATCTTGCCCCTTTTGGTTCTTTGTAAAGACTGCCTTCCTTTTCTGTTCTGGGCCCGCAAATCATTCTGTGCTCTTCTGCAAAACTAATGAGTGCTGCTGCTTTTGAACAAAAGCTGAAAGTGTGTCGTGACAAAGCTTGTTGCTGTGTCAATCAAACTCACCCTGTTTCCTGATCTGAGTAGGGTGTACAACTCTTGTCACTTTTTGATTCGAAAAAATAAAAACATCTCAAACAACGACAACAAATGACAAACTGTTAGGATTCTAGAAGCAGGAGATAATTCTTGAAATATTATTCTGAATGTTTTTGCTTTCACATCTGAACTGAGCTTTACTAATAAGGCTGAAACTGTTGCTGGGGATGCACAATCATCTCCCTGAGGCTGTCCGACTCAGTTTAGTGGGTATCTATCTCTCTCTGTGTGGTGTACACACATATTATGAGTGGGCCAGCAAACATTGGCCACCTTCCATGTGAATTGCTGGATGTGAGCCTCTTTCGGTTGTAGTATATGACACAGTGACCTGTCGTGCATAACCCATAGATGTAGTGAAATACAGAATAATGAAATGAAATAATTGAGAAAGGCAGCATCTGCAGAAGGTCCCAGCGTCTCCAGGTAGGGCTGGTGAGGAATCCTGTCTGAAACCATGGAGTGCCTTTGCCAGTGCTGAGCTAGATGGACCAATTTGATTCAATATAAGGCAGCTTCCTAAAAATCCATTTGTGTTTCTTCCATTGGCACAGAGCTCCCTCACCTGGCAACCAAAGCCTAACTCCCATTAATTTCTAATGTACTTGGGAGAGGAGAAGACTCATAGAATCGTGGAGTTGGAAGGGACCAGACAGAAGGAAGTATGCATTGTTTTTTTTCCAGATTAATTTGACTCATGGCAACGAAGATTGTGATTCATTGTATTTCAAAGGATTCAGTATTTTTAGACACACTTTTGAAACAGCCTATGGCTCCATAGGAGACTTTCTAAGGCTGCCAGTCCTATACCCAGTTTCCTGGGAGCTGGAGCATAGGATCCCTTTTTATGGAGAAACGCTGAGTCAGCTCAGCCTGCTTTTGATTTGCCTACTTTCTGGTTTGTTAGATTTTTCTGACATGTTGCTTTCCTTTTCTTCTGAGTTTCCTTTATGTCAGCTCCAGGGCTGTCAGATGGGAACCTGATATGATGCATGAGTTAACAGGTGCAAGAAAGAGGGGGGTAGGAAGTCTGAAGTGGGTGGAAGACAAGTGCCAAGCTATGTCGTCAGGGTCTTTGGTCCTGTCAGGACGCAGAACAAACTTGCAGATGATCTAACTATTGATGTTTTACATAAGTACAACCCTCCCCCATTCCATGCACAACTTTATTTTCAGGGCATGATTGACAAGGGGATGTGAAAGTGCCCGAGACTGACACAGCAGAGGATATAATGCAATCTGCTGCCTCTCTACAAGGCAGTGGCACATTTTCATTTCCTGTTTGTCTGCCTATCTGCTCATTATTATTCTATTTCTTCCACTTAGCATCTGGGTAGCTGAACTGAAGGCCTTCCCAATCTTTTGGGAACAGAGTGCTATTTTAAGCTCCCCAGAACAACCAGAGATTCCCTCCCCCACCCCTACCCCCGCTGTAAACATCAGGGAAATTGCAATGAGTAAAACATAATACTATATATATATTTCTTATGTTTGCAATATTGAAACCCATCCCCAGCATTTTTAAGGACATTAGTTCACCATAGGTAAATTTATAAATCACAGTAAACCATGGTTTATGAGGATCGGAATGAGCTGCCTTCAGTTTGTGCACCTCTCCTCCTCTGGCACATCCCTGAGAAGGAGATGAGAAGATTTCACATCCGTTTCTAGTTACTGCAGTTTAGCATTATGCCCCAATTCTAAACTCTGGTTAATTTTAGCTATGGTTTGTTGAAACAATCCAACTTCAAAACTCAAGCAGCAGTGGTTTAGAAATCCCAGGCATCAGAGAATGCCTTGTCTTCCTTCAACGAGTTCTTGTCCCCTTTCTACATTAACAACCTTGTGTGGTGTCAGGGCAGACCTCTTTGCCTCTTCCCTCTTCCTGCAGGCATATCTAAGGGGCCAAGGTAGTTGCCTGGGTTTGATTCATGTCATGTGACATTCAAAGCGAAAGTTCTTCCATCTCTCTGAAATGATGCTTTGAGTGATAGGTCAACTTCTTGGAAGCTGAAGTCATTTTCCTTGGCTCTTTTAATATCAGAGACTTCCTGTTAGCACAGAACTGTTGTTGTTTCAATATCTTTGAATGTGTTTGTCCATTATTATTATTTTAATTGCTTGAAATAGCTACTGGCCAATCATGGTGTCTTTCATGCTGCCGGCAGCCAATAAATACGTTTGGATCGGACCCTGAGAATTCTAATAAGAAGTTTCCTAGAATAGTGTCTTGATGGGAAAAACATTGGGGAAGGGGGAAAAACTTGTTCTTTTAGGCCTAGCCTCACTTTAAAATAAAAGTGTGTTGGGGACGCACTCAAAGCACTTTATATAAATATGTATGGACTTATATTTTGTTTATTGTCTGACACAATGTAATTTCAAGCAAGGGGCTGCTAAAAGAATTGTAAAGTAATGAGAAGCATGTATGATGTATGGGGGGAGGGAACAATTTTTGCATTGTGATATGAAACTGGCATTTGCAATCTTTTTGTGGTAAGGTAGTTCACGGTGTTGTCTGCAGGCCGGACATTGATCCCCGTGACAAACAAACAAACAAACAAAGGCTGAAAGCCTTTCTCAAAACAAGAACAAAAGTCTGCAAACAACTCTTAATGAAAGTGAGAGCAAGTGGTATGAACTGTATAGTGCTGACCGGAATGTATGGAGAGTTGTTTGTGCTCAAAACGCCTTTGGGATTGCCTCTCTTTGTTTTGTACATATTAAAGCACTGATGGACTTTCTGCTGTTTTACACTCCCTTTTTTTTTTGCTTAGCAAACACCACAATGGGCATCACTCATTCATTAACGGCATGCCCTGGCTGGTGTGTCTTTATTCAACACGTGCTTGATAGGGAAGTTCCTTTCTCTGGAAACACAGAAGAAGACTCCTGCCTGCCTGTCTCCTTTCTGGCTGAACCAGTGAAAGATTTGCTGAGTCCCATGAGAAATGCTGTTTGCAAAATGTGCAGCATTTAATTTTTCACAAAACTCTTCCATCTACCTCTGCTTTCTGAGTACAGCCAAACCCCTTAGCTCTGCAGTTCACAACACAGAGTACTAACCATTATACGATCATGGCTCACTTCATTTTTTAAAAAAGCTCTGCAGTTCAAAAGCATTTTTTTGCCACATTCATATTTCCCGTCCCATAATGCACCTTCATAAACCTTTCAACTTGTGCCTCCGTCAGGCTTGAGGCTTGTTTTTACTCAGGTCAAGTTATTACGGGACTCAAAAGCCCGGCCCTTCCTGAACTTGGATGCAAGAGGAAGGACATGTTGCTGCAAGCTTTGAAGGGGAAATCCTACTGGCGGAACTCTGACAATTCTCCCTCCTGCTTGTCAAGTACACTTAAGGGATAGGCTCAGAGCAGTTCTCTTTCCAAACAGGATAGGAAAGCAATCATGGATTGTCTCCTGTATCTCTTCATTTACCCATAGGTTACAATCCTAAATGGATTTACAATGGAGTAAACACCAATGAACACAGTGGGACTTACTGCTGAGTAAACATGTGTTGTAATTATGAAACATGCTTCCTGTTCCTGTATACAGAAAGGTGTCTTTGATGGAATCAGACCACTGGTCCATTGAGCTCAGACTAGGGTTTCTGGCCCAAGAATGGACAGAGCACTATGAAACAGAATGTATGGAGAGGAACCTTCTAGGACAACAAATCTGGGATACCTTAAAACTCAACGCTCTGCACTATTCCCAACCTTTTGAAACACATGTTTTGTTGGGGGGCTTATTTAACACTGAGGTCCCCATGAAGGAGGGAAATTGGTGGAGAATCAAGAGCACAGGTAATTTGGACAATCTGAAGGGTGAGGTACTTAAAGGTAAAGGTAAAGGGACCCCTGACCATTAGGTCCAGTCGTGACCGACTCTGGGGTTGCAGCGCTCATCTCGCTTTATTGGCCGAGGGAGCTGGCGTACAGTCATGTACCATGTGGCCAGCATGACTAAGCCGCTTCTGGCGAACCAGAGCAGCGCACGGAAACTCCATTTACCTTCCCGCTGGAGCGGTACCTATTTATCTACTTGTACTTTGACGTGCTTTCAAACTGCTAGGTTGGCAGGAGCAGGGACCGAGCAACGGGAGCTCACCCTGTCGCAGGGATTTGAACCGCCAACCTTCTGATCGGCAAGTCCTAGGCTCTGTGGTTTAACCCACAGTGCCACCCGCATCCCATGGACTTTCCAAACTGAATAAGTGTGGAAGGAGAAGATAAAGCAATAAAAACACTACTATTACAGCCTCCTTGCAATGAAGTGCATCTTGGGTCTTGAAGTATGTTTTAAAGTAGATTCAAACTCAGTAGATATTTCAGTGTTTAGAAAAATGAAGTTTAGATTGAGGGAGCTTCTCCTAGTAGTATTCCACACGACATGTTCTTGGGTGCCTTGTGCTTGCTGGATACCAATCATCGTACTCAAACAGCAGGTAGATCATTGCGGTTTTTGTTTTGTTTTTTAGTGTTATTGATTGTTTCCTTCCCTCTTCTTGCTCATTATGAGGTCCTAAGCAGGCCCAGTGTGTTGCTTCATCTTCGTAAGAAGCCTGATCACATCTCAGGGCTGTACTGTATGTGGAATAATGGCCCTAGAAGGGTACACAATTGTGAAAAGTCAACAAGTCAACAAAAACATTTTCTCTTCAGATAAACATTAACAGACTGTCCTAGCACTGTGAAACCTGACACAGGGGACTTGGCAAAATCAGATGATGTTTGCTAATGAAGCCTGTTTCACACAGCATATGGCTTTTAGGTCAGTGGTGTGGGGCAGAAAATATTCCAAAATGAAAAACGCTTTGGGAAAATTTCCAGGCATTTTATTTTTCCACGGAAAATATTCCGTTTCATAAGCTCATTAATATCAATGAACGGATGACCACTTCAGATGCAATATTAAGCAGGTCTAACAGTTTCAACTTTTTTAGATTTGCTTACTAAAAACATTGTAAATTACTCTATGGCACATACCTCTGATTTGAATAGGGCATTTTCCTGCAATTTCACCCCCCCCCCCGATTCAAAATTTTCCAGAGAGACCAAATCACTGGCTTAGGTACAGGAGACTAGCATGCAGTACAGCACATTCACTGGAATGCAAACATGTTTACTCTGCCAACAGTATTTCAGGATTCCCTAAAGAAGACTCAGAATACAAAACTATACATGTCTACTCAGAGTAAGCCCTGCTGAGTTCAGTGGGACATACTTCCAGGTAAGTAAGTTTAGGACTGCAGCCTAATACACACCTGCAGACAAAGGTGTCAGAACCAGTCTTTATTATAGATAGAATTGTTTACTACATTTGTATCCTCTCTTAACTCCAAGTTGCTCAAGGCAACACCCATATTTCTCCACCGTGTTGCCTTTTATCTACACAACTTCATGAGCTGCAATTAGACTGAGGGAGAGCGACAGGCCTCAGCTCACCCAATGACCTTCATGGCTGAGTGGGAATTTGATCTCAGGTCTTCCCAGGTCCAGTTTCACACACTAACCAGTATACCACAATTTTTTTTAAATTTGTTTAAAAAGGTTAACATACCACTTAATAAAAAAACAA